CTATGGAGGTTCAAGGTCCCCTCCATGATCAAGATGGCTGTACAGGCACTTTCAAGAAGATGTAACGAGCATTTCTATAAACCAGAAGCAAGAACAACCAGTTGTTTTGGACCAGATTGATTCGGATCTATTCGATTGAAGTAGAGTCATTCGCTCCGTGAGTTAATCTCGTTGAGATCTCACGCTGCCGCCATCGTGCCGATTTGTCCTCGAGCGCAAATTAGCATAATAAACGGCTCACGTCCCCGTATACTGACTCGATTCAGACGCATTGTACGTATGGTATAATTACGAATTAGGGTGCGCATGACGGCACGGAGTTGTGCAAAGTTTGCTGGCTACCTGCCAATTATCGTGCCGGCCAATCGTACGCGCCGTCGCGCAATCATCTCGAAAATCACATGGGTGGAATGTGAGGGATCGGAAGGGATAGCCCGTATTTCAAGACCCCTGCTCATCTTGGTGACTTGTCAGTTTTACTGGACTATGACAGAGGAGATGATGGAGGCCGTAGCTATAATACCTCACCTTGTCTAGCACCAAATCTCACTTGGACAGCCAAACACGCCATCCCTACATCTCAGTGAATTTGGCCGAATAATTGCCCGGAGAAAGGAACCTTTTGACGGAACAGAATTCCGGGTAGTGGTGTGTGCAAATCACGCATTCCAATCACTTCACAAGTTCTGCGCGGAAAACGAATTCATGGCGCATCTCACATGAGGTGGCCAGCCCAAGCGCTCCACCATTTCTTTTCCAGACCTTAATGGAGCAAAGAACCAATCCAAGAACTGACACGAAATCGTATATCTAAGTGTGCCGCGCTCATGGTCAGCTTAGATAAGGCGACCATTTTGAGTCGACTTAACTAACAAGTACTCCAGGGTAGCGAAAAACGCAATACAACACACGTTCTACAGCTGTGTGTGGGCAGATTGGGAGCTCAAAATGAGATGTTAGGCGCTGCTCAATGCCTCTGAGCTACGCCACGCATTCAGTCTCCATTCAGAATCGCAGGAATACTTGAACGTTCAATCAGCTATGAGGGCAGTTTGAGGGTGCCCTTAAATGGAGTAGAAAACTTTGTTACAAACGAGGTTAAACTCATCGTACCGTGCGCGTATAGTAGCTCCTCCTTTTATATACCAGTCCCTTCCGAAACATTTATATCACATTGCATGGCTGTAAGCAGGTAAGCAGGCTGCACTTTTAGCGCAAGGCTCGACATTTGAGCAGCTTGTCTAATAGGGGAATACGTTGAAAACTTAAAATGTATTTTAAATGACTATGACTTTCTAAGTAGATGAATTCTCATTCTGAAAGAAGATTTGGAGGTTCGACGAGTTCTCTCTAATTATCATTGAAACTGTGAGAATAATGAGAAACGACCGTTTTCTGGTAATTACCTAGAAAATTCTTGATAAGCGTGTGGTTTTACACTACCTAATACCACAACTTTCTTTGAATACGTAAATTCAGAAAAATTTGCATTATAATGGTATAAGATTTGTGGAAGTGGTGGTGTAGTGGAAAGCGGCTTACCACGCGAGCGGTCCGGGGATCAAATCCTGGGTCGTGAGTCGCCCGGGCCAACCAAGCCTTCCATCCCTCCGGGGTCGGTTAATTGGTACCAGACTTGTCTGGGAGGATAAAAACACTGACTTGTACATCGGCTGGCCCCCGCAAGTCATTGTATAGGCCACATCGCATTCAAACGCCACTGAATGTACAAATGGAAGTAGAATGCGTGCCGCATCCCAAAAAGGGATTGATCAACGGCAAATGCTTTATCCTTGTCGTTGTAAACTAGAAAAGTTACTCTCTTAAATGGTTTCTAGAATTACTCGATACCTCTCGTATATCAAAAATGGCCTCGTTGAGGATTTTTGACCGAGCTCCGCGTTGCATTTTCGCTCCTTCAGTAGCCTCTTCCATGCACAATTGTGAGCAAAAGTGAAGGAAGCTTTGGACTTCGCGAGCTTTCGGCTTTCTAATAAGTGTAGAAGTGTACCTGGAAGTTCGAACTTACTCGAACGGTTGCATGTTTATGTACTTGACGTCTTGATACTCACATATCCATTGCAGGGAAATAATTAATTGAAGCAATTGAAGCGTAGGGCATTGGTCGAACCTGTTCATAAAAGCGCCGGTGTTCGACATCCGGCACGAGCAGTGGTTCCTATCCACATCCCAACAGGCTGCCGGTGCTCTATCATTGCTGATCCCGGCTACGACCCCTTTCCTTTGTCTGGACGTAATAAGACCCCCTCGTCGAGGAATCCTCAACGCACGCGCTATGCTGGTAGCAATCCAAATGACCTCCGAAGATGAACTCCACTACGATCAC